TCCTCTGCAGGTTAAGACAAACTGTTTGCTATAATTTGCATAACATTCTCTGTAGAAATCATTTGTTGTGAGTTGTGTTTTGTTGTTGTTGTTGTTTTGTTTTGTTTTTTGTTCTGCTGATGCATTTATCTAATTAAGGTATTTAATTTCTCCTGTGAATTTCAACAAATTTTCTGTAAATTACAGAAATTAGTCAGAAAATATGACAACTGACATCCAAAGGAGTGACAGGATAACAGGAGACTTTTGTATCTACAGCTACTGAACGCATTTCTCCTTCAATGCCCTGGCCATAAAATAAAAAGGAGCTCTGCACAATATGGCCATCCAAACAAAAAAATATTTTAAATTAAATGAAAAGAACATTTTCCCTCCTTTTCCATTGTTTCAATCACAGATTTTAAAAGTTTCAATGCTGCAAGATACAACTATTCAAAGCAAATTGAAAGGAGACAGATTCTCAAAGGTATCTACAGCAGAATTTGCTGTGCAACCTCACAGTCAGAAGTAAAACCATAGTGAATATAGAAGACAGGGGAGAGTTTTCCAAGAGAAACTAGATTTAACTACATAAATGAGTTCTCAGCAAACAAGATAACCGTTGTATATAAATATTGAGGAACTTTAGCTTTAGAGAAAGGACAACAGGGAAATTTTACGTCTAGGAGGTTTTCTTGAAAGAAGTGATGCAGCATGTTGATTTATAGAACTTGTCCAAGTACCCAGGAAGTTCATGGTAACCATGATTGTTAAATTAATACAATCATATTTTTTTTAGAAGTTCATATGTATAGGTTCTTTACTAACGCTGTTTTGTTTAGTAATACTACATCTGATTTTAGTTAATACTGAAATCCCCCAAAAATGAATAACCAAACCAAAATTCCATCTACCTGTTTTGGTTTTGTTCTTATCTGTAACTGAAACTCAGTATAAATTGAGAAGAGACCCTCTGGCACATGAAGAGTGAAATAACGTAAAGTGACTCTTTTCATGAATTACCCCTCTAAAGCAGGTCAGGCACATCACAGTGGTTAATCACCTCCACTGATTATTGATCTCCTGCACAGATTATTTTAAGGGCAGCTGAAGATAATTAGCTTCAACATAGGTGTCTGAAGGATCACAAGCATCCACAGCATGAAAGGAACCAGACTGAGATCAGGCAATGGTGTGAAGACAAAACCACTCAACAGAAACACAAAAAGACATGATTGCTCCCTCAGGGTTTATGATTTATTGGCATCATGGGGATGTGGTGGGATAGCTCCTTTGTCTGGAGTGTTGGAGAAGTAGGATGCGGGCTCTTTGGAAAGAACAGGCTGGGGAGAAGAGCAGGGTGTGCTGCAGTCTATGACTGCTGGAGTACATGGAGCTCTACCAGAGGATGGATGAGGACCTGACTGAGATTCTCTAGGTAGAGAATCTAAACTCAGGGGGTATGAGTGACACACAAGAGGGCTGTGCAGCCATCCAAAGTGTATTTGTCAGGCTGAAGAGGTGGGCTTACAGAAATCTCATGAAGGTCAGCACAGAGAAGTGCAAAAAGCTGCACCTGGTGAGAAATAACCCAAGGTACCAGTATGTCAGGGGCCATCCAGCTGGGAAGCAGCTCTGTAGCAAAGGAATTTGGAGTCCTGGGAGACACCAGATTGAACATGAATCAGCAGTGTACCCTTGCTTCTAAAGCTAATGGTATTTTTGGCTGCATTAGATGAAGCATTGCCAGCAGGACAAGAGGGTCAAGAGAAGTGATCCTCACCTCCTACTCAGCATTGGTGAGACCACAGCTGGAGTGTTGAGTTCAGTTCTGGGCACCCTTTAAAAGAGAGACATGAACATGCTGGAAAGAGTCCAACAGAGGTCCACCAAGATGATCAAGTGACTGGAGCACCTCTCCTATGAGGAGGTTGAGAGAGCTGGGACTGTTTAATATGGCGGAGTCTCACAGGGGAATCTCATCAATGTTTATAAATACCTGAAGAAAGAATGCAATGAAGATGGAGCCCAGTGGTGCCCAGTGCCAGGACAAGAGGCAATGGGCACAAACTGGAACACAGGAGGCACTTCTTTACTGTGTAGCTGACATAGCACTGGCATAGGTTTCCTGAAGATGAGACCAAAAGAATCATAAAATCATAGAATATCCCGAGTTGGAAAGGATCCATAAGGATTATCAAAGCATCTGTTGCAACCCTTTAAAAGGAGGAGAGGACCTTCCACTGTCTCAGAAATGACTGAACCTTGCCGTAAGAAGAGAGGGTCCAGAGGTGGAAGGAAGAATGATTGTAAGGGGTCTGCAAGGAATGAGGTACTTCCACCGCATGCAGAGGTCACTGAGGGAGGCAGACAAAAGCAGAGCAACAGCGGTGATGGATACTCAAAGGAACTGCACAGAGATCACAGTAGCTCAGCAAATCACTGAAATGACTGAAACCAAACCAAAGAGAAACGACCTACCCCAAAGGAAGGAGCTTATAAATTGATTTTGTCTATTCTGTCTGAACTGGTCAATCTGAGCATCCCTTAATATAAATAAACAAATATTCTAGATTCTATTCCAATAAAATCTCTTGTTTTATTTTACTTAAAAAAAAAAAAAAAAAAAAAAAAAAAAACAATCTTTTGTCTCTGTAGGGGAAACTCATTATAGTTCAAAGCTCTAGACACGCCTGCCTAAAACTTGAAGTCAAAATAGGAGCCAAGTAGAAACATCAAAGGGGCTTTATTTTCCTCTCTTGTTATCTTTTCTGAGATGCTTTACCAATGATTTATCAACAAAGTAATATCCCATAGGAACAGAATGAAAGTACTGTAGAAGTCTAAAGTTTGGCATACTTGTTTATTTAAAGTCTCCATATTAATCTTTCATATCTCATAGAATTATACTAAACAAACTGATGAGCAGGTAAAAGAAAGCTGAATAGAAAAGTGTTCTGCATTTTAAAAGAGAGTTAAGTATGCAAACTTTATAATTTAAATTAAAACGTCAGTTCCCTCAAATTATATCAATGATTCCAAGTTCATAATGGAAAAATTGTATCAGGGCTGGGGACAGATAAAGAATTCTATAATCTTTCTAATTCACTCTTCCAAATGCAATTAAAAGTTATTAGATTTCTAACACATAAGCTTCTGTATAAAACATTATTCTGTTAGGAAATTAAACACTGAACTACAATCTCCTTTCATTTTTATGCAAAAAATTTATTGAACAAATTTAACCAAACCACCAGAGTGCAAGTGCTGTATTTTAGGAAATTTATTTGCATGCACTGGAGGACTAAAATCCATAGAAACTCATAGCAGCACTATCTTCAGTAATGATAAATAAGTGGCAGCAAGCATCAAGACAGTGGAATTCAGGAGTCAACAATGAGACCTTGGTATAAGTCTGTAGGTTCCATTAAATGTTATTAGAAATTATGCATATGATTTAATAACACTTTTCCATTAATCTGACAGGCTTGCTGTGAATACAGAACAGGGGGAAGCTACACAGAACACATACAGTCCATGTTTACTCTCAAGGTTACACCTGAAGATCAACTAGTGAATAAAAGAAACCTGAGCTGCCAACCATGTCATGTTTTTCATTTATTTTACTGACATGAAGTAGGACAAAAAAACAGTCATCATTTATTAGGTTTCTTCTAGTACTCCAACTACTCTGAAGTTTTGAAAGAATATCTTACCAGGGGCATATGCAAACAGCGCTATATGGCCTTTACTGACTGACTGCGGGTTTTCAAAAACACTTTTAGATGATGGGTTTACTTCAGAAAATCCTACATGGTTCAGTGTCTACTTATCTGAGGCAGAAAAGTAAGGGTGAAAATTGATTTCTTAAATTGCTGATGTGAGCTCCTTTCTTATATTCTTAGCCACACTGACTTCAAATGCCTTCAAGTGTCTTCAATTCCGGCTTCTTCCTACACTTTAGTAAAGTTGCAGTTTTGTGCTTATAATGCATCAGTACAGCTTAGAACTTCTTAGCAGCCAATATTATTTATTGGATTAAATCACCCATCATGATTCGTCCATCACGACAAATACTCTGGAACAAGGAAGTTGACAAAGCAGCCATGCCACTAGTGTCACTGTTTGCCACCCTTTCCTCAACCTGATTGCCACTGTACAGCTAAAACTAGCCCTATGAGGCATAATAAAAATCTATAGTACAGTTCAATCAATGCTTTATTCATTATGAGTTATTCTTCTTCAAGACTGTTGCATCTTTCAGTCACTGGATGTACACAGTGGGGGGATTCAGAAACTGTAAGTGCTCAGCAGCCAAAAATATATTTTTAATTTTCATAGGCCAATGCACAGGCAGGTTTTATGACTCCCCTTTAGTTATATGTGAATTTTAATTTGGTTCTATTGTTAGGACACATAGAACATGTCCACACGTAGATATACACATAACTGTATAAAAATCCACACATATAAGTCTAAGCTTAGAAAGTATACATGTTATTTTTATTTCAAACATATATAGTGTCTTCCTTTTTTTAGTTTGGGAAATTATTTATTCTGGTGATAATGCAATGATGACTGGAAGTCACATAAAGAGGTATCTATACTGAAGAAATAATGCCAGACTACTTTGTTCCTTACTTGGGAACAATTTCTGATCTCCGGGATGAATTTTTGTCATTTATTCATATCTACAGTGAGATCATGCTAAGGTCAAATTTGCTCATTCTGTAATGTTTACCCACCTAGCTAATACCGGGAAGTCAGAAAAATGAAGTCATGAGCTCTACCTGCTACTCCTCCTGGGGTGACTAAGATGTGACTGCATTTCAAAAACCTGTTCTGAGAAACTGCTGTTCTGATTAATCTGGTGAAATTGTGAGGCAAGGAACATAAAGAAAAGAGCTTTCTGAACTGACAGACTCAGAAAAATCTTACAATTTGGCTGGCTTTGTTGTTGTTTTGATTTATTTTATTTATTTATTTATTTCAACTAAATAGAACAAAACTATGAAACTTACCAAGATCTAGGTAGACACCGGGAACAAATGAGTTGAGAAAAAACATAAGAATTACACATCCCAGCACAGTCAGGCATTTGATAAGAAGGATTTTGTCTGTTATTCTGTGCTGTAAAGAGGAAAAAGAATTGAGTAACTGTATTAAAGAAGGAGCTATCTATTATGCATTAAGTTCAAAAGAGCATGTGTGAAGTACAAACTGCTGTTCCTGTATTGTATATCCTTCTTCAGCATAAAAGACATAAATATTTAAGTTGAAGCATTTCATGTACACTATATCTTGAATATGTAGGAACAAAGGCCCAATGTGAAGCTAAGAAACGCAAGCAGCTAACTGCTGAATACACCTAGATGTGTCCAACTAACCTTACCACAACATCATTACATTATTGTATGGTTGAAACAGTTTCTACTATAGACAGAACTTCAGGTGCTCTGTGGTTTCACAACCCTGGACAAAATCACCCTTTGTTGCAATTATTCTCTGAAAAGCTATAACCCAACCTAGAGGCCAGATCCATATGCTTCCTGTGGAACATTCAAGGACATGCCAATCCCTAATCCCTATGCAGCTCCTGTTCCCCTGTGCCCAGAGCTCCTCATGCTCTCACCCTCAGACCCAGCCACTTTCCACTGTGCCCCTGATTCTGTACTCTGATCTCACTTTTACCACCAACCCAGGGAATCACCTTCTCCCAGCCTCAGTATCTCTCATTTCCAGTCTCTTCCACACAGTTTAAAGCTCTACAGAAGTACAATTAAATCTCTGCTCTTTAATAAGTTTGTCATTTATGCAATGCTTTGAAAAAAAAAAAAAAAAAAGTGTAAAAACTAATCAGATAGTCCTGTTGACCTTGTTCTGTTTTGGTATGACATATAGGACAGAGAGGTCCCAACCAAGGACATCAGTTCCCAAGCACAGGCCAGTACTCATTAGTGCTAATGAGATGGAGACGATGTGACATTTAGACATTTACATTTAGTTGAAATTAATCCCACTACAGAGTACATGTCTTGTCAGACTCAGCTTTGGCATAAAAGACATAAGCAGTGTTAATGTGTGCACAACAAAGAAAAAAGAATTCCTGCAAGTGGTTTATCTATACTTGAATAATCAAGCAGGCGTGTCACAGACAATGTAGTAAATTAGAATTGGTATTAGGTACATCAGCAGGAGTGTACTCTACCGTCATGCATCATGGTTATAAACAACCTATTGACACTTCCTGGGTCTCTCTGGCCATAGATTAAAATTTTAAGAAAACACTGCTGAATCATTTATTGATCCTTTAAGCAACTTTTTTCTAAGGAACATAAGTATAAAACCTGACAAACACTCACAACGTGGTTCAGTAACCCTGTTCAGCTGAGGCCAGCCAGCCTGCCTGTCAGCTTTTCTGCTATCATGAGAGTTATTAAATTTGCATTGGGTTCAAAAGACTCTCTCCATACAAAGGCATAGGTCCACTTACACTGGAACTGAGAAGAACTGCCATCTACTTACTTTTTTCTGAAGTTCCTGAATATTTGTTTCCCAGTTTTTATCTTCTTGTGAAATTTGCCTGAAAGAAAATGACACCTGCTTTTTTCCAGTGTGAAATTAGAGCTCTGCCAAAAGTATTGGAATAAATCCCTCTCATCACAACCAGATCATCCTTTTACCCATAAGGAGTATCTCATACCAGAAAGGAACTGTGTGCAACATGGTCAGTAGCAAAATTCCAGTTACAGGTCACTTAAGACCCCACTTTTGTAACAAGCGCTACTAGTACATACAGTTAAGTTCATGAAAAGTGACACAGGCTTGGAAGGAGCAAGCATCCAGAGTATGAACGTTTGTATAGGAGCTGGCTACATGCAATATGTAGTTCCCTTAATAGTTTCAGAAGATGATGTGTGCCCATCTGCGATAAAACAAGGGTCATGTGCTAACAAGTCAGAACACATATGTGTTACATTTGCATTTTATAATGAAGTTTTTACAATCTGAATAACTTATTAAACTTATTAAATAGTTGTGTTATCAGCATAGTCAGCCCTCCAGCAAAAGGCTGTAGGGGTTGCAGTTTGGGAGCTCTGTTGTTAATACTAATGAATTTTTACATTGCTATAAATGTACTTGTGCTGGAGAAATCCTGATTTTCAAACTAAATGTACCATTTTCATGTATACTTCAGAAAACTCCCCTTTGAGTATTGTAAATTCAATGTTACTTTTTTTTTTTTTAATTGAAGTAACAGACTTGTTTGTCACTCTGTTCAAAGTGCACAATATAAGCAAAAATTATTAAGTGAAAAAAAAAATAAGTAAATTCTTAACTAAAAATTATTACTGGAATGGCTTAAGACATCTTATTTACATTCCCTTGTTCATACTGTGTATTTAATTAGCATGTTTATTAATTAAAAAAAATAAATAAATAAAGCTATTTCATTTTCACTTTAGTCTAGAGTCAATTCAAGTTAAGAGAATTTATCACCGCCATTCTCAGACATCAAATTCCATTGCATAACAGCTAGTTTTGCTGTAACCTAAACAAAATAGGGTTAGCATCTTATTAGTCCTGGTTTATAGAAACTACTTTTCTATACGTAAATGGTTAATTATGCCTATGCTCAGGTCAACACTGATGGCTTGATTACAAAACAATTTTAAAATGCAGTAAATCAATAGTGGTATGTTTCTCAAACTCAACAGTTCACTGAAGAACACTTGAATTTTTCAGCAGAAAAGAATTTGCAGCATTTTACTACTTTGTAGTCACTACTGCAAAGAAAAGCATAATGAAGTACATATGATCTTTTTAAAACAAAAGTTATATGAAATTTCTAGGCCTTTATGTTTGGATCCTATTGACATATATTTTCCAAACTCTACACGTTAGGGTTTTTTCCAAAAATACTGAGGCTGAGGGTGGCTCTTCGTACTTGCCCCAACACACATCTGATTAAAAGACAACTAAGAGTATAGGTCTCATCCCACTGAAGACATTAGCAAAGCCACAGTATCATTTCCAGCTGTAGTCTGAAATGAGGAGCTCTGTGTCAGTCCAACAAACCACCCGTGTCTACAGCTCATCCTATCAAGAGTGGGAGCAAGGGAGGTGGCACACGCTGGCACCCACTCACTTGTGGAACGTCCTAAGCTTCTTCCTCAGCAGCATCTCCAGAGTCAGCACCTTCTGCATCAAGAGGCATTTTACAGCAGTCTCTTCCCTGCTGGCAGGGTTAATGCGCTGTGCAGTCAACCTCCAAACATAGATCTCATGTTTCAGCTCTAAAAAGAAGCAAAATTGCTTATGTTAAAGCAGGTGCAATGCATATAAAACCAGAGACCCACAAAATATGTGGAAGGCATTCTGGACTCAAAGCTCTTAAAATAATTGGAATGGTTTCCCAACAATTTGCCACTTTGACAGCTGCTTTTACCATTCATTTTGCAGAGCTGAAGGGAATGGAAAATCAGTATGAACATTTCAAAATTGTATATAAATTAATCTCAAAGTCATTTAAAAAAAAAAAGTACTGTCTACAAACAATTACATATGACAACCAGTATATATTAATATAATACTAAAATGCAGGCCTGAGTGATATCTGGTCCTGTGTAAGTTTAAACAGACTTATTAACACTTCAAATCAGCCTCCAAAATGTTGTCAGGATTTTGAATGTTTTGGTTTATTTTTTCCAGTATTGTCAAGACCTTGGAGAATGACTGAAAAGTGTGTACTCCTGTTGAGGACAGGCATTAGATTGGGCATGCAAAAAATATCCTTTGGTTTTTCCAGGAAATTCCTGGAAATTTTTGAGGAATAAATAAATGAATGCTGAATATTCATTCAGAAACTGCGTGCAGAAATATTTCTTGATGAACTAACAGGATACTTCCACTTCCTTTTTTTTTTTTCCATCAAATTTTATATCACTGAAGAGAAAGTGTCGAGAATTCATGGCTTTATATGTTAAGATCCCTATTTAATGTGCAAATTGTTCTTATCTTAAGAAATGGACACCTTTGTACCATGTATTTATAGCTATGATACAGAGTGAATCATGTAAAGATTGACCGTAAGAGGAAATAAGACTTGACAGAACTCAAACATTTCAGAATAAAAGTAAGGGTGTCCAGAGACATCATAACTTGCCTGAACAGCTGATGAACAGCAGATGACTCACATTGTCTATTGGTCACATCTCTAGATGAACACACAGTTTGCAAGCCATCAAAACAATTATCTTTGCCTTGGCTTTATGATGTAAGACTGAAAAAGTAAATTCACACTATACAAAGCCAAATTTCAAGGTTATTAAACAATCAGTGCTCATCTAAATCATTTCTAAAAAAAAAAAAAAAAAAACACTACATGTATCAGAGGTGCAGAATCTACCACCTTGGTGATTGATTCTTGCCAGGATTATACCAGGATTATGCCAGGAGATTAATCTGATACTGCATTGTATTAAAACAAGTCTTATCAGAGGATCCACATGAGTTTGTGCTGATGCCCATTCTAGCCATCATTTACATTTCCATCAGCAGTTGTGACACCCACAAATATATCAGCAGTGATTTTCTGTTCTCTTCCAGAACATAAAGAAGAAAGAGACAGAGCTTTAAACCACAGCTAATCTTCTGCTTCCAACCAAATATATTTATTTGTTTGTTTGTTCATTTGTTTGTTTTTGAGGATTAGGGTGGATCGGAGCTGTACAAAAAACATATTTTAAACCTTATGATTGGTGGATTTTTTTTCCTTTGAAAAACCTTCCTAAGTTCTTCAGGGTGAAAGAGATATTTCTACCACCCTTCAAGCTTCCCTACACTAAATTAAATAGAAACGTCTGTATTTAATTTGAGCATATGAAGGAGGAAAATCCCCCTCAACAGGTGAACGGTCCTTTTTGTTCTGTTCTCTCACAACATTTTAAGTCCAATAGACTGTGGCTTATAAACTCTTGCCATCAGTTCAAGAGAGAGAATGTGGTTTTTTGTTGTTGTTGGTTGGTTGGTTTTGTTTGTTTGTTGTTTGGGGTTTTTGTTTGTTTGTTTGTTGTTTTTTTCCCTGGCAAATGCTCATGAAGCATAATTATCCAGTTTGCTATTCTGCTTCTGACAGGCTGTCTTTGCTGCAACACCTTTTCTGATCATAGGATCAAACAATGGTTTGGGTTGGGAGGCACCTTGAAGACCATCTAATTTCAGCCTGCCCTGCCATGGCTCTCACCAGATCAGGCTGCTCACAGCCCCATCCAGCCTGGCTTTGAACACCTCCAGGGATGGGGCTTACACAAATCTGTGCAGCCAGTTCCAGTGCCTCACCACCCTCCTAATGAAGAATGTCTTCTGAACATCTGCTCCAAATCTGTCCTCTTTCAGTTTAAAAACCATTATCACTATCACTTGTCCCATAACTACTCGCCCTTGTAAAAATTCTCTCTCCATGTCTGTTCACAATTGTCTGTTCATCCTGCCACATTTCTCTTATCCTTTCCAACTGAAATGTCACCAAGGATTTTGCTGATGGAAAAAAGTTGAATCTTTCATCCTCTAAATGAGATGCAGATCCCCAGTGGGAATTTTCACAGAGTCTTTATCATCATTCTTTCGGAAAGGAACAGCTAACATCACTATATCTGTGCCACAAACAAAACCACAGAGCAGAAAGCAGCTCAGCTGGATTGCACATTCCTGCTCCATGTCTGAAATGCTGTGGGGCTAGTCTCCAGGCTCAGCAAAATCTCATCTGTGTTAAAAAATATGTGTTTTCACATGGCTTTGATCTTGCCTTTATGTACAGCAAGTGCATGCTTTATTGTTCAGACTCTTTAGTTTTCTAAACATCCCAAGCATGCAAACATCTAAGCGGTTGTGAAATTCACTTCAGAGCAACATGACCTGCAAAAATCAGAAGAGTCAATACATCTTTTACACTGCTACTCCATTTATGCCAAGAAGTTCTGAAGAGTTTTTCCAAGTTTTTAACAAAACCTTCTAACAGAAAGTTCTTCCTTTTTCAGTTCCAGGCACATTTTTATTGTAAATGTGTTTTATGGCACCAGGTGCTGTATATATGTGTATATATATGCATGTGTTAGCAGTAGTTTTTGTTGTGAAGGAAATATAATGCAATACCCTTGATGTCATTGAGAACACTGAACCCAACCAGAAACCTTTGGGCCTTTATCTAGTCCTACCATCTCAGGTCTGCAAATCCACTTGGGTATCAACCTGTACAGTTTGGGAACAATTGATCTTTTAACTGTGTTAAACACAAGTGACAAGAGTTTATGAAGCTTCAGGTTCTTATCAATTACTTTGAAACTATAGCTAAGGCAATAGGACAGCATTTGGCTGGCCTTGAGTGAGAAGGTCTCATACCTCATTTCCACATTTCCATAAGTTTCCGTCCCCTACTCAGATGGGAGGTGATGGTCAGGGCACGCTGACTCCACTCACTCATCCAGGAAAACCCAGTCTGCAGGTTTTTTGCAAGGTTAACCTTACTGTGGCTCAGCCTACATTTATTATCTCATTATATGATATCAAAAAATCTTTGTGAAAATGGTGCATTCATAAAGTCCACAAGGTACTATAGAAGAATACCTACCATTGTTTTTTCACAGACTTTTTTTTTGCTAGAAAGTCCATTTCCAACAAGAAAATAATATTTTGTCATATCTCTTGGATTTAAAAAAAAAAAAAAAAGGATCAGCAAATGTACAATCCCTATGCTGCTAATCTGTTTTGTCCATAGGATCCAGTTCCAAGCCCCCTACCATAGGCAGAAATGTCACCCACTAGATCAGATTGCCCAGGATCTCATCCAACCTGGTCTTGAACACCGCTAGGGATGGGGCATCCACAGTTTCTCTGGGCAACCTGTTTCAGTGCCTCACCACCCTCTAAGTGAAGAATTTCCTCCTAACATCTAATTTAAATCTCCCCTCTTTTAGTTTAGAACTGTTATCCCTTGTCCTATCATTATCTGCCTGAGCAAAAAGCTGCTCTTTTTTTTTTTTTTATAAGCCCTCTGTAAGTATTGAAGTGAGGTCTCCCCAGAACATTCTCTTCCGTAGACTGAACATCCCCAGCTCTCTCAGCCTTTCTTCATAGCAGAGGTGCTCTAGCCCTCTGATCATATGTGTGGCCCTCCTCTGGACCCACTTTAACAGATCAACATCATTCTTATGCTGGGGGCCCCAGACCTGGATGCAGGACTCCAGGTGGTAGAGAAGGGGAACAATCACCTCCCTCACCCTTCTGACTGTTCCCCTGTTGATGCAGCCCAGGATGCAGTCGGTCTTCTGGGCTGCAAGCACACACTGCTGGCTCATGTCAAGCTTTTTGTCCACCAGAACCCCCAAGTCCTTCTCTGCAGGGCTGCTCTCAAAGAGTTCTTCTCCCAGTCTGTGCTCATGTCTGGGGTTTCCCTGAGCCAGGTGCAGCACCTTGCACTTAGACCTGTAGAACCTCATTAGGTTCTACCCACTTTTCGTTGTTGTTGTTGTTTTTCTACACACTTTTTCCCACTTCTCAACCTTGTACAGGTCTCTTTGGATGGCATGCCTTCCTTCTGTTGTATCAACTGCACTACTCAGCTTGGTGTCATTTGCAAATTTGCTGAGGGTGCTCTCAGTCCCGTTGTCTGTTGTTGACAAAGATCTTAAATATTTCCAGTCCCAAGATGGACCCCTGAGGGACACCACTCATCACCAGCCTTCACTTGGTCATAGAGCCATTGACCATCACTCTTTGTGTGTGACCTTCATGCCAATTCCTTATCCACTGAAGGGTCCACCTTTCAAATCCATCTCTCCCCAATTTGGAGACCAGGATGTCATGTGGGACTGTGTCAAAGGCCTTACAGAAGTCCAGGTAGATGACATTGGTCAGCTCTCCCCTGTTAAGTGATGCAGTCACTCCATCATAGAAGGACACCAGATTCATCAAGCACAATTTGCCCTTGGTGAAGGCATACTGGTTGTCTCAGATCACCTGCTTGTCTTGCATGTGCCTTGACATTGCTTCCAGGAGGGCCTTTCCCATGGTCTTTCCAGGCACTGTGGTGGTTTTACCGTATTAGGCAGCTAAACGCCACAACTGCTCTCTCACTCCCCCCCTCCTTAGATGAGGAGGGGAAGAAGCAAAGTAAAGAACAACTCACAGGTTGAGATAAGGATAATTTAATTAAAGGGAAAAAAAAGTATTATTATTATTATTATTATTATTATTATTATTATTATTATTATTATTATTATTATTATGGAAAGCTTAT